GTTCTTAGTTATTGACAGTGAGTATCACCGCAATCACACATGACTTCAGGATACGACCAACTGTATTGGTCAACGGTTCTTTTCATTGTTTCGTCAGGGTACTTTCCATTGTCATTTTCATCCGTTACTGTGACGCATTCATTAACACCTTCAAGTTCTTTTATCATATCATCAACGGCGTCGCGTTGATTTATAAGTTCCCGCCACTGATTAATTGGAAGGTTAATTCCCTTTCTGCCTGGGTTTAAAGTCACCATCTTCTTCAGTTTTATAGAACTCTCGTATGGACACAAATAGGCTTTCGTTCCAACTCTGTACGGTTACATGCCTCTTTTCAGTTAGGTAAATACGTTTTGTAGCTGTAACTGTTGACCCATTAGCCATCATTGGTTTGGTTGAGTTCATCTGATTCTTTCCCATATCCTGTCTGAAAGAAGCGCTTGCATTCGGTCCACCTTCTACTTTCTGCTTCTTAGACGGTTGCATTACACGATTCATTGTAGCCTTTGCCTTCTCAAACATCTTGGAATCGGTATAATCGGCTGTTGAATTATATTAATTCATTCTGATAGAGTAAATTGCACTAGTTTCTTGTAGTAAAGACTGTTGGAGTTGTTTCAACGAGTTTCAGAAACTAAACTGATGTTTTAACTTCAATTTTTCTCCAGTATATATACACTGAATTGAATAGAAAGATTAAATGACGTAAATAGTATCGTTTCATTATTCTTTTTGTTTTTATTTTAATTTTAGGCTATTTCTTTTATTTTATTAGAGGAAAAAAGTAAAACATGACGTCATAAAACTATTTGGGTTTAAAAACATAGAGTTACAAGCGGTCACTGACACATCTTAGCCAATAGAAACCGTCATACATAAGCCAATAGAAATCGTCCTTTCCACGCCACGTCACCAAATCTCATTCACCCGGGCAATTCAAACTATAGTCACCAAATTTACAGTCACTAATCTGTCACTGATAATCCCCTAACCTAGCCCTTTTGTTTTCAAATTCAATACCCTCATTAATTTAATGGGCAAGAAGATTCTTTTGTGACTGTAAATCCAGCTGGCAGACTTATCTCCCTTTTGTCTCAATTTTCACTCTCATTGTAACCAATTTCTAAAGAGCACACAATAGTGGACTATAAATTTTAAGGAAATATGACAAACTTAACACGTCACGCTACACATCGCCACTTAATTAATAACTCTTTTTGTTTTTAATATTTCAATAAACCCTCATATAACCCCTTCATATGCTTCAACCCATTATGTACAAAATAAAATTATTAATAAATAATTATGAATTATGATGACGTAATATTCTATTGTGCACCTATACCAGCATACTCTCTACTCCTGTATTTCAATTTAAAAGGTTTGGTTTACATTTCATTGATATTTAAAAAAAAAAATTAGATTTTAATAATGATATTTAAGTATGAATATGAATATGTGCAAAATACAACGCTTAGCAACGTGACAAAATATATTTTAAAATATAAAGCACTGCTACTCCAACAGCCCACTTACCTACTCAACCTCCTTATATCTATATCTATATCTATAATCATTTATAACGCGCTATTTCCAGTGGACTCGTAACGCCGAGTGTCAAAAAATATGTAAAAACGGTAAAAGTGTTGGATCCTGCTCTGATTTATACAGTTGACAAAAATAAATAAGAAAAAACGAAAAACGAAAACGTTAGAACAAAAAGATATAATACACCTTATTATTATTAATAAAAAAAAAAAATTAAAGGTCAATGGTCATTGGGTCGGCATGATTTCATAGAGACCACATCACATGCGCACGATAGCTCATAAAGATCTGTTTACTTGCTTTTGTCATTACGTGCTTAGGCCTATAAATATTTTATTTATTTATATTTCTCGTGAGACATGTACTAATAATCCAGTAAGTTAGACAGCTACCCGTTTTCAATGAAGACATAAGGTTCATCATCTGTAGTGCAAGTCTTGTCCTTAGCCGTAGCTCTGCAGCTTTCGATTTCCAGTCGATTATTGGAATCTTCAGCTATGCCGGCAAAGTACAGCGTATTGCTGAAAGAGACGTTGGGGAATCTCGTTGTAGTTTTCTCTGTAAAGTTTTCATCAGTATACAGCGCAAGATGTGTTTTCATTTTAGAGCTGCCAGAATACTTCTTTCCTTTGACACCATTGTTAGAGTTGTATCGGGGATCATTCACTCCTGAACCTGTGACGTCACAAACAAATCGTATGTCCACTTTTTGCACTTCTCTTGTTGCTGACGGGCCTTCAAATACAGGTTTCGGTGAGTTACGAAGTGTGTTTATGTAACGCCTAGAATTTGGTCCCAAACGCTGTGTGAGTAAAAGACAATAAGAAAAACGATAATGTATAATATATTGCAGTGGAACATACTACCTAAAGATACCATCTAGTGAATTTGAAAAACACTTAAAATTCAGTTGGATAAAAGAAGCACATACTTTTAAAAAATTCATATCAGACACTAACGCCTCCCTAGAATAAACGCCCTCACATCCGGTCCCTAAATAAATTATGTAAATGTTCATTTTTGTTGATTATATAATATATAACGTGTTATATAATCATTATTCTAAAAGACTAGTACGGCCACTTATTTACACAAAATAGGCCTATATATCAATTCTGATCCTTCCTTTCTCTGTCATTTTACCTTAAACTTTGTGGCACATTCGTCGTAGAATGTTGTGATAACCAAATAATCTTTGTCAAGCCTTTCAGCTTTGCATCGTTTATCGTGTAAATGGAGTAGAGTAGGATCCATTTTATTAACTGCTTTATGAGGTACGTAAAACGTCATACTGTTTTCGCCGCATGATGAATATGGTTTTAGTGGGGGCGCTGTTGAAAGTGATAAATAATGGATTTATTAATTTTATTTAGTTAAGAAAGATTACATATATATATATAGGCTTATAT